TGGTTATAACTGTATGAAAATATTTGGTTGGCAGAACATTGATGTAAATTAACAACAACAATTGATAACAAATCAAATTCAATTTTTTTCCATGTTTAGGCTCGAAAAGGACGTTTTTATACAGATCCACAGGTAGCTCATTTAATTCCTAATTATATTTTATATACAGAGAGAGCCAATAAATATATTGGAATTAAGTTACAATTTCTATATATATTAATTTATATACAGAGAGTCCCAATAAATATATTGGAATTAAGTTGCAATTTCTGTATATCTATATATAAATTTGGCTTGTCTGTCTGTTTGGGTGTCTTGGTGTTTCTTTGTTTGTTTGTTTGAATCCATTAAACGTCAAAACGGCTGAACCGATCGGACCAAAAATTTTTGTGGGAAATCACGTGACCACAGGGAAGATTTATGAATGATAAAAATTTAAAAAATGTGTTTTAAAGGTTTTTAATTTTGTAAAAAAATTTAAATTCTTGAAAATCCCCGAATTTTTTTTTAAATCCGCAAAATTTTTTTCTTCTTTGTTTTAAAATGTAAACAAAAAGACCATGTTCACAATTTAAATAGAAGATGGGCGCGAAGCGCCCTAAAAGCCTAGTATTTTATATACAGAGAGTCCCAATAAATATATTGGAACTAAGTTACAATTTCTGTATATTCTTCGTTCCACGCGGCTTTAATACTGAACACAATTTTAGCAATACACCAAACCAGTTTAACCTTTAACATCTAAAATTACTAATTTCGGAAATTCTAAAAATTCTAAAAAAAGATTGTGCTTAAGTGGGTGCTCTTTGTCTTTTCAGCTTTTTAATAAAAGACAATTTTCAATTTAAGAGAACATTATAGCATTATTATTTCTTGTACATTAAAAAAATATGTTTTAATGTCTACACTCAACACAGACAGTATATTCAGATAGAAAAATAATAGGAATAATAGTTATAAATTTAAAGGTACGTAATTTTAAGTGTCCATCTAATTATAGAGTGGGATATCCGAAGGACAACGGTACCCTAAACGGTACTCTAAACGGTACCCTAAACAGTACCCTAAACGGTAACCTAAACGGTACCCTAAACGGTAACCTAAACGGTAACCTAAACGGTACCCTAAACGGTATCCTAAACGGTATCCTAAACGGTATCCTAAACGGTACCCTAAACGGTACCCTAAACAGCTTTGTCAAATCAAGAATGAATTAGTTATTCTTCTTTTTTAAAACTAATTATTTTCTCTTGAAAAGTGACTTAACCGTTTCTGGTGAAGCAATATAAGAATCAGAATTCAGCTCTTTTTCTAAGTAGAAAATAACAACGATATCATTTTATCAATTATACAAATATTTAAAAAGTATCTTGCCCCTGTTTTATTGTAGGTTGCTTACAATTACAATATTAGTCCCTTAAAGTCAGTAACCTCTTGTCCTATAATTACTTCCTTTGTCCTATCTGTACTCAAGGTTGTAATGCAAGGAAAGTTAATTGCAGTTGCGTATTCTCTGCGTACATATTGAAACCAGTTCTCTCTGGGCGGAATTTGTAAACAAGAATAGATGCATCAGTGTTCGTTTAGTATCCGAAGAGGTTAAACGCATTAAATTTTGATAATTTTGACAATTCACACAATAGTTTCCTATGACCTGAATATTTCATTGATTTTTTTAATGTGAAAGATGGATCCCATGTCAGGCTTGGACATCTGTCTTGTGTTTACATTAGCGCCCAGAGACAGTACACTGCAGTAGAAAAGATGCGTAAACTTTTGAAATAACTTTCCTTGCATTACAACCATGTCTGTATTCTCCTCTTTCATTCATGGCAAACACTTCCTTAAAGTTTACTTTACAGTTGCACGGAAACCATGGTGATGTACCCTGCCATAGTTATGTTCTGGTAGAAGAGGGACAAAACCAGGTACAAATATCGTTATTTTATTAATCGTTCAAACAATTTTAAATCGTTAATTTTTGTCTTTTTTCCGCTTGTTTTCAAAAAAGTATCTCTAAAAGATCCAAGTTGTTTGTCCATAATTTCTTCGAATGGTGTAAACTAGAGCCTTCTTTCATTAAACTTTGCCAAATTGTTCAAGCCTTTAATGAAATAGTTATGTGTGACCTATTTGAAGTCGCTCTGGGATAAAAATGACAGAAGATTTTCAAAAAATATTTTAATGATAAACATATTCTTCGTCATGGCTATCAAGGAAGGAAACAGATCGGTGGTGCTAATGGATTAAATTACAACAAAATGGTTTGTAAAATCATCCTAAAACATGCGATCTAAAGCATTAAAGTGAAAAAAATTAAGGAAATCGAAAAATCAGCTGTTTTGCCTATTTTTTTCAGCTCCAACTTGTTTTTTCTTCATTATATTTTGTAAAACGTTCTTTTCCGTTAAATATGGCTCATATTGACATATTTAAAAAAATACATTTATATTTGCTACTTGAAATTGATTCCTCTCAAAATTGTGAAAAATATTTCCCCCTTGAATGCCCATCTCCAATAACCAGTTTCTTTCCAGAAAAACTCATAATTAGTGATTACAGCTTTACAAGGACTAATCAAGCACATTTTCTAGGGAACAGTTATCAATGGAGATCTACCATTAGATATACAGGCGCATATACAAGATCTTAGAATGGTAGACTCCACCAGGTAAAATACAGGATGTCCCACGAAACATGACACTTGAGGAACGACTTGAATATCGTCTTTGACTTTTGTTTTAAATAATGTAAGTTAAGCAAATTCTCGAATTAGTGAACACAAAATACAAGAGGTATTTTGTGTTCATTAATTCGAGAATTTGCTTTACTTACATTTCCAAAATGTAGTCTCTACCTTTTTTGTTCTTCCAAAAATTACCGGAGATATAAAGAATTACGTTCAAAATTTGACAATTCTGATTTTACTTGATAAATTGGATTCTGAACAAAATTCTTTAAATTTCCTGTTATATTGAAAACACAATGAAAGCAGACTACATTTTGAAAACCATGGAGTAGGGGAAATGTTGTGGTTAATGTTTCAAATTTGTAAAAGTAGGTTGAAAAATGAATTCCGCAATTTACTTCTAAGATACAAAACGATATTTGAACACTTTCTCTTTATTGTCATGTTTCGTGGAACACCCTGTTAAATAAAATTTAATTAAAACCCTTTGTAGTTTTTAAATAGGGGACTAAATAAACCAGCATTTAAAGAACCATGAGTACGGTAGCCTCTAAACCTATATTTGAGTAATGATAAGGAACATATCGTAGATAACTGCTAAGTAAATTCGCAAGGATTTTTATGCAGAAACCGAAAATATGGGTATATCATTCATTCTTGGTCGGAGACAGGTTTAAATGGTATTGTTATGACAAGCACTTTATACATGGAAGGTTGCTTTAAACTAAACCTATGCTCTACATTCTAAAGTTCCTTAAAACAAAAGAAAATGATATTTTAAAATAATCCAAAAAAGTCTTTGTTTTCAATTGTACTTGATGTTTAGATATGAAACCTATGACGAAACAGTGAATGTACTAAATGTACTTGGGTACAATGGATACAGAGTTGTGGGTATGGGTACAAATATGGCTAACAGGTACAGTGTTACAAATACAATGTCTAAACAGTTTTGGTTCCAAAGTGCTCCTTTTTATGTTAACCCGAACTATCTTTCTATCCACTTTTTTCAAAATAATTTAAAAACTGCAAGATGATGTTTCTGATGTCTATCTGCAATATAAAAAACACGACTTTTTTACAGAAATTTGTTTTAATAAGTACACCCGTATGCAAAATCAAAATCATTTGAAGACGATCTCGAAAAGTCCTCAATTTCCGTGTTTATGGCTACCCTGTAGAAGAACCCTTAAATTTTTTGACTTTTTCTAACTTATCTTTTATGAACGAATATTAAATATCTTTTAAAGTTACACTATGGGGTAAACAGTGAGAATCAGAAAACTCTGAAATAGGAAGACGACTTCAAGACTCAATATATGATTTTAAATAGTCCAATGCTCATGAGAATGAGATGTAACTATTATGCAGAGCAAACAGGTCTTTTTCACTATTTATGTTGATTTTTAAGCTACTGTTAAAACTATTTGCTTTGTAACATCAAATAGACATAATTATTTCTTTTATGTCGTCTTTCTATTCCACAGTTTTCTGGTCCTCATTGTACTGTATTATTCTAGGCTTTCCTGGACCCTGGAGAGAAAATATTTCGAGTTCCACAGAAATTCAAATCCTAATAATTATTAAAATCAATTGTCAAATAAGCCAATTTCTATTTATTAAACACATGCGCATACAATATTTACAAATATAAAGAAATGATAAAAAATATTAGTAAAATAGAAGGTTATTATTAATTGAAATTGGTTTGACTAGATAAAAAAGATTTAGAAATTGCGTATACTATTTTGCATCATTTCTAAAACTTTTGAATTTCTACATTTATTGTCTTCATGAAAAAAAAAACTGCTAGATCGAACTCTGCCAACATTGCCAAATCTCAACTTTTCCATCTTTTAACTTCCTTAGAAGAAAATGTACCATGTGTCAAAGTTGCTGCGGGGTACGAATTTCTATACCAAGTTCACACTTTGCAATGATGATTTAAAATACTTGAAAAAAAACTTATAATTTTTGATCGGACAAAGCATAAATTATTGACAATGTCTGGCAAATTTGGATCTGTAAAAGTTCATATTCTATTTAAATTGCTTCTATATTTTTCTATTTTAACCACCATTTTGAATTATATATTTCAACAGAAATGGCGGGAAACGGAAAAGAAAAATGGCGGCAGATCAAGTAAAACTCATGGAGTTCAGCTTTATTTTTTTTGGGATAATGCCGCGGGATCGCCACAAATTTGGTCGCTATCTAAACTTAAATCTTATGTTTTCTTAAACTATAATAATATAAAAAAACTAAAAACTAAAATATCAAAGACGTAATCGAAGAACAATTATGGAATGCGGAATGATTAAAAAGTATGAAGACGGGCTTGGCAGAGAAATGTTGCTTGTCCAATCCACTGAACGTTGTGTCCTGGATAAAAAACTACATTTTTCAATTAAATATAAAAACAACTTTTTAAGTATTTGTTTTACCTGCGCAAAAACTTGTAAAGCATGCGTTGCAAATATCAGTTTTGCACTGCTTACAGTAAAATTTTGTCTGCAAGAAACGTATAAAATAATTAAAGTAAATATAATGTTATAAAATTTATTAATAAAGGTAAAAAATAATTTATAAGGACCGTACTTCATTATTGATTTTAATAAAGGTAAAAAATAATTTATAAGGACCGTACAAATCATTATTGATTTGAAATGATTTTAAGTATAAGATAAAATGCATGAATGACGATTTTAAATTTAAAAATTATACAGCGGGACCCATTAAACTGTGAAATAGGAAGACGACATTTTAGCAATCTAATGAGTATTTAATGTTGATATTGAGCAAATAGTTTAAAAATCAACTTATTAATTGAAATGGGTCTGTTAACAAAGTAAAGAATTCCATATAGTTTTTGCCGCTTATTTACATCATGGATCTCTAATTGCATTATAAGATTTGAATAGACAGATAGATAGATAGATCTTGCCGCCTTTGCAATTCTATTGGTCTTGAGTGCTCACCAAGCACGTGAATGGACCCTGATTGGATCAGACGCTAAAACTGGACATTTGAAACTACTGTGCTTATGCAAGGTTAAATTCAGCCGACAAACTGAGATAATCTTTCCCCCCCCCCTCTCTCTCCAACAAAGTTGTCACATCAGCTTCCGCCAATAATCAGTTACGTCATATGCAGATTTGGAATTTTCATTGCTATGAAGACGACATTTTCCATATATTGTAGTATGTAGCCTTAATACAATCTTGGTTTTATGGGTCTCACTGTCTCACCTGTTTTATTGGTTTACAGTTTCTAGCAGTAAACGGGGGTTTGGAAGGCGAAGTGATTTCTTTAGTTTTTGGTAAATAGAAGTCAGACAATANAATACGGGCAACTGAAATAGAAGTCAGACAATATGGGCAAACTGAAATAGAAGTCAGACAATACGGGCAAACTGAAATAGAAGTCAGACAATACGGGCAAACTGAAATAGAAGTCAGACAATACGGGCAAACTGAAATAGAAGTCAGACAATACGGGTAAACTGAAATAGAAGTCAGACAATACGGGCAAACTAAAATATCGAAGTCAGACAATACGGGCAAACTGAAATATCGAAGTAAGACAATACGGGCAAACTGAAATATCGAAGTCAGACAATACGGGAAAACTGAAATAGAAGTGACACACTATTGGCAAACTTAAATAAACGGAAATCACTGAAAAGAAGTGTCAATCGAACCAAAACAAATTTGAAATTGTTGAAATAACGTTCAAAGTTCCTTTTGGAAATTACTAAAAAAAAGTATTTTTTCAACTTGATATTACTTTATTTTTTACCAAAATATTTTAAATTATTACAAATTGTTACTTTTATAACTATATGAATCATACAAAAGAATAAACTCATGAATAGGAAGAAGTGGTCGAACTATAGATGTATAGTAGAACTATTGTACCCTTGGGCAAAATAGACAGGTAGTTTATCTGATCCTAGATAGTTCAACCTCTTCTTGTTATTTATTAATGCCGACCCCAGAATGAACAGATATTTGAATTTGTATACCTTAATCTGTTTCTTCTTGCATTCACTACAGGTTCTACAATTGAAATAGGGCGAGGATTTCTGTAAAAAAAATATTGAATTTTTTATGATTATTATTTCATATTAAAAATATATCCTGCAGCCGACAGCTTAAAACTTTTGAATAATCTTTCGACGGGGTTTACAAGAAAATGTCACAAATTTGACCGCATCAATTACCCCAAGGACCAAAAATGAACACTGAAACAACTCTGAAACTTTTTAGACAACCTCGAATTTAAAGTGAAGCAAACGCCTTGGCCTTTGGTTTTACCTCACCAATTCATCTATACTTTTTTGTAGTCTTAAACATATACATTTTAAAAACACAACGTGCTTGTTTCTAGCTTTAGTTTGAAAGGAGTAGTTGGCAAAATACTGATACATTTTTGTGAGAGCGTGCACATCTTGGTTTGTAGTTAAAATATTTAAACTAAATTTAATCACTTCTCTGGAGCCCTACCAGGCAAAAGAAGTTGTTTAACTTAGTCTACGTAATTCAACCACTTGTCTTGAGTTCTACCAGGCAAACAGAAGTTGTTTAACTTAGTCTACGTAATTCAACCACTTGTCTTGAGTTCTACCAGGCAAACAGAAGTTGTTTAACTTAGTCTTCGTAATTCAACCACTTCATGCTATTCATTAATTTTGGCCCCCGGTTTTAGTTATTAGTTGTGTTTTCTTTACAAATTAAAATCTTCAAAACTGTAAGTAGATGTTAAATTTTTTTTCAGAAGAAGTAAATATTTTCATTTACTGATATCGCCCATTGAAGGATTCATAACTCTGATTGAATAATGAGATAGATAGAAAGATAGATGTTACCGCCATACAATTTCTATTGGTTCAGAATAGACAACAAACACATGACTGAACCCTGATTGGATCAGGCGCTAATGGACTCGGCATACAGGAGTGGTAGGTTCAACTTAAGGGGTACAGTTGTGAATTAAGCGTGCCCTCTTTTTTTAATTGAAAGGACACCTGAAATTACCAATTAAAAAATATTGATTTAACAAATATTTATAATATTTAATTATGTTCACCTTCTTATTAGAACAGCAGGGCGTAATAAATCATCTATTTTTGTCTGTACAACATCCACAATAGCTCTGTCAGAAGTGTCCTAGGAGGACAAGTATCTTTTTAATATTCTTAACTCAGGAAATTAATAACAAAAGAATTAAATCGTTTCCATCCTTCCCTATATCTTTGCAATCCAATGTCATAAACTTTAGATATTTCAAACTATAAATTTTGTTAGATCAAATAATCTAATTATGAAATATCTAAGGTTTAAAACGCCAGGTTGCAAAGATAAAGGGATTAGAAAATTTGAGTTTGTTGCAAATACTGAATTTCTTTGTCGGAAATTTTCAGCACTGAGAAACCTCGTGATGCAAATAAACTTTTGCAGAGAAACCTCGTGATGCAAATAAACTTTTGCTGAGAAACATCGTGATGCAAATAAAAAGTAAAAAAAAAAACAATAAAAACTTGAAATTTTAAAGATATGACGATAGCAAAGATATATTAAGTCTTCTGGGAAGGATAATTAGTCATGAACTTTTTCCGACCTTTTTTTAGACATTGCAACCAAACTTTGAAAGTAAAATGTCTAATCTTTATTTCAATATATATTTCATGCTATACATAAAATTACGCCGACTGTCCCTTTATCTTTATATTACCTGGCATATAAGAATGGGGACTTGTATGTATGTCCCCCTGTTGATAAACAGTCCCTTTACCTTTATATTACCTGACATGTAAGAATGGGGACTTGTATATATGTCCCTCTGTTGATAAACAGTCCCTTTATTTTAATATTACCTGGCATATAAGAATGGGGACTTGTATATATGTCCCCCTGTTGATAAACAGTCCCTTTACCTTTATATTACCTGACATATAAGAATGGAGACTTGTATTTATGCCCCCCGGTTGATAAACAGCCACTTTACCTTTATATTACCTGGCATATAAGAATGGCGACTTGTTTATATGTCCCCCTGTTGAAAAACAGTCTCTTTACCTTCATATTACCTGACATATAAGAATGGGGACTTGTATATATGTCCCCCTGTTGATAAACAAGTCTTCTATATACTCAGCTAGATCTTCAATAGTCAGAACATTTGCCCATTTCAGGGTTGGGAGCTTTATACAAACCTAATCAGACAAATATAAACATACAGGGTTACACACTTTAATGATACCTTAGATTTGACGTTTTGAAAGTTAAATTTGAAATTGACAACACTTGTCTTTCATAATGTTGAAATAAGAAAGTATATATTAATATGCGTGGACCGTATGAGTGTAAAAATGAATGTAAGAAAATCTGAATAAATTCTGTAGAGTTGTCTCTGAAGTCTCACTCCTTGTGGGTAACCCTGTATCATGCACGTTATAACATGTATTGCAAGGAACTATATATTTCTGGATGTATTGTATATATAAATATAAGAATGTTTGGATCTAATAACAAAAGGCTTTTGGGATGCCATGTATGCATTCCCTAATAGTTAAATTATGACCATGTTTGATGTCCAATTCTTTAAGGTAAGCTCATTAAAATTTAGACCTATAACTTCAATGGTTAGAATTCTAGAGAGGGTTTAGAAAATCGCGAAAAGTACGCTGAAAAAATTATTTTTCTAGAAATATTAACATGTTCTGATGCATGTTTGTAAATATATACATCCATTCAAAATATGTTGGTGCGAAATAAAAACAAAATTTTCGTTTTTTAATTACACTTTTTAAAATCCAACTTACCTTAACCGGAGTTACACAGTCTGGACATCCACAGTTAATTTTCCCATAACAATCTACACACCCAGTCCCACAAACACAATGAACTATTTCAGATTGAGATTTATCAGGGTCTGCTGCAGACTGATGATAATCACTAGAATGAAAAGTTTTGATTAAAGGGATTGTAGACTGGATTTCAAATGACCTTCAAAATATAGGATTTGCCGATTTACATCGATTCACTCCATAATCTAACAAACAAAGAGGAAAATGTTTATTTTATTTTCTAAAAATCAATTTCCTTCTTTGTGTAGAAACCTTCACAAGTCGCTTCGGCAGTTTTGCGCAGAGGAATCTTTAAAGGGTACCGTTGTGCATCTTAAAAATGGGGGTAGCTTGAAATTATTTCAACAGTCTCAGTAATCAATTGTGATTTTTTTCATACTTTATACGGATATTTAATGTAAACAAAAATGGCAGGTTTCTAAAAAAAACATTTGGCAACAAAAATATTTTTAAAAGAAAATATAGACTAAGAATAGCATTTTCATGTTTTTTTTACTCCCCTAGATCATTGTTTGTATCCAACAATGTTTTTCTTTTACCTTTCTACAAGTTTTTCTTTTTCTCTTTCTATATGTTTTCTTTTACCTTTCTACAAGTTTTTCTTTTTCTCTTTCTATATGTTTTCTTTTACCTTTTTACAAGTTTTGACCTTCTCTTCTTATGATTTTTCGTTCCCTTTCCCATTTCCGAGGTTTTGAGAAAACAGTCACGTTCCGGAAATCACTTAAAATCACTTATTCATATAATCACGATGTTTTTAATCACTTTTTAATCACTGCACTGGCAGCAAAAGTTTCACTTTGTCTTTTATTGCGTTCATTTTTAAGTTCTTTCTGTAAATTCCGCTAGACGAGTTTATCTTTAATCAGATTTTAATCGTCAAAAATTCTTGTCAAAATCTGTGCAAATTTTAGCAAAGTGCACATGCAAATTTTCCTTGTCCCATCCAGTTAACGTTGTGTTTAGAACATTTCGCAGTAAAACAGGAGTTGCAAATTGTTTTATCGCAAGTCATGCAAAAATACTGCAAACATGATGCATCCTTGTTTTATTTTAAATCTTTTTGCCTTCGTATTTATAGATCATCAAACATATTTTCTAAACAAAATTTGAATAATAATAGTTTTGATTACAATCATAAATTGTTTAGAGAGTTAGAATTAATAAACAAAAGAATAAAACAAACTTTTATTTTTTTTAATCCCAATATATTTGCAGTCTAATGCTGTAAGCTTTTGAATTTGCAAAGTAATTGTAAATCTTTTTCACAAACTCTAATTTTCTGATTTATATAATATATACTTTTGCAACCAGAGGCCGAATTTAAAGAATTTGAGCCGCGGCTTTAATTTGAGACGAGGCTCAAATATAGTTGGTTCCGCTTAAAAATGTATTCAATGTTTCAAGATTTAAGCCGGCACTCAACTGAAACCGGTTGGGTAGATTTGAGACGTGGCTCAAATTCGTTAAATTCGGACTCTGAAGGGTTAACGCTTTGATATTTTACACTTAAATTAAATTTGATCTAACAGAGTTCATAATTTGAATATAAAAGTTCTCCAACATTGGGTTACAAGGGATGAGAAAATTAGAATGTTTGGCAAAAACTCAGTTCCATTGAAAGTAGTATGAAGAAAAAATGTTAAGTAAACAAAATTTGCATTTCCTTTGTTTGTTTAAGAACTGGTGCACAAATCTTGAGAATACACCTAGTTGTAATCTCTTTAATTTCTGCAGGAGGAGGGATAGGTTTAGGTTTAGGCACAGGAACAGGTTCAGGATCTGAAAAAAATATCTTCAGAAAACCAAACTTGAATTTTTGTTCTCACGAAGGAATTGAGTGTTTGCCACAAACTAAAATGTTATCCTCGCTATATCTTTTCAGCATGATGGTGAAAACTTTTATATTTCAAACTTAGATTTTTTGATCCAACAGAATTTATAGCTTGAAAAATGTACGATTTAAAACATCTGGTTGCAAAGATATATGCACTATAAAATAAGTGTTTTGAAAAAAAACTCAATGCCTTTGGTAATGAAGTAAATAGTAATAAAATAAATGTCATGATCAGTTACTTTTAACTCTTTTGCACCGGGAGTCCAATGTCCATTATTGGCTTTTCCATGTAAAGCCGAAAGCTTTTCAATAAAAAGAAAGAAAAATTCTGAAAACCTTACAGAAGTATAACCTCAAACCTAAAACCTAAAAATTAAAAATTAAAAAAAATGTTATCACGTATATTTAAACAAATCTATATAATACTTTTTTTACCACGGGCAACGCCGGGCCCGATCAGCTAGTATGAAATAAAATAATAATTTGTATTTGCCTAGAACAGTTGCATTAAATGTCTAACATTGGTATTCCTATACTGAAGGTAAAGAACCAAAAATGGAGTTTTATCACTTTGCATTTCTTCCTCTGTGTGAAGTCTTTTGTATCCAATTTGTTTGATATATTTTTTAATCCAAAAGATAAAGTAAAACTAACAGTCTCACATCCATGTTTTTGTTCATATAAACTTTTTTTAACTTACATGGATCAAAAATATCTAAAGTTTGAAAATCCTCTTGGTGGGGAGTTGGTAAAAAGTCTTCATCCCAATCTAAAAAAGGAATAAAAAGTTTAAAAAAAAATTATTTTTGAAAAATAAAAAATTTAAACAAAAAAGTATCAACGAATTAGTGAGGTATAATGATTAAACAAAGATTAAGGCGTTACAACACTTCAAAGTCGACCCAGTCTTGAACATTGATGCAACCTTTCATAACAGATTGGATGTATGTTACATTGATGCAACCTTTCATAACAGTTTGAATCTATGTTACATTGATGCAACCTTTCATAACAGTTTGAATCTATGTTACATTGATGCAACCTTTCATAACAGTTTGGATCTATGTTACATTGATGCAACCTTTCATAACAGTTTGGATCTATGTTACATTGATGCAACCTTACATAACAGTTTGGATGTATGTTACATTGATGCAACCTTTCATAACAGTTTGGATGTATGTTACATTGATGCAACCTTTCATAACAGTTTGGATCTATGTTACATTGATGCAACCTTACATAACAGTTTGTCTGTTACCTGGAAGAAAATCCTCCCACCTCCACTCTATTGGATCTTCCAATTGGTCGAATATAGTGACAAACACTTCTTCTTTTTCTTCTTCTGAAAATCAGAAATTTTCAGTTAATTTTTCTTCTTTCAAATCTTTATTTTGTTTTAAATTTACCTTTTTCAATGTCTGGTAAACTATTCGGTATTTCTGGAAATCGACAACATCATATTTTTTAGTTTTAATTCATATTTCGAATAATGTCACCGCTACTTTCACTTTGATAGTATAAAACAATAAGATTTTCTAAACTAAAGCTTTACTTTAAGCTTATTTTTCTTCTGAACTGTGAGAACCATAGAACTGTGAAAAGTAAAGTTTTTTGTCGTCTTCCTTTTCATTTAATGACAAAATTTCGCAAAGAATTTTCTATATTTTAGTGATGTAAGAATTGGAACAATGAAATTACAAAAATCCATCTAAGGTTAAAGGATCAACAAACGTCAATATATCCACAGTTTTTAAGTTCTGAAGTAAATTTTTCTTCTAAACTTTGATATTTGTCAAGCCTTGTATCGGTTTCACAGCTGTTTCTGGTTTAGCAGGAAGCACGTGAGTGTCAATATAATGGCGGGAAACCTGCCATTCCTAAACATTGTTTTTTTTTTTTATCAAATTACAGATCATTTACAGGAATACTACATTAAAATACTAAAATGAATGTACAGTCGTCGTCGCATATATCAATACAATGAAGACGACTCTAAAGCTTTCGAAAAAATGGATACACATAAACATGAAGTTTTTTCAATGTTTATTTTTAATTTGAAAAAAAAACTCCGCCGTCTTCATTGTATTGATAAACCAAAACAAAACTCGTGACAATATTAAATTTTGATTCTTAAAATTAAAATTTTTTAAATTTTTAACTTTTTTTTGTAAACAAGTTTTTACCTGTTGAAATCGTCTGGTACATTTTGTGCATGGCCAGGGTAAGTTTGATTCTTCTATTAATGGGACAACATCTTCATACTCATGTAAAGGACTTACAAACCACCAATCTGAGAAGTAAATAAAACATTTAGAATAATAAAGTTTTGTTTCGATAAATACTTTCCAAAAGTAATGCAAAATTTAACAGGTTTAATTATTATTGAAAAGTTACCAGTTACTATGGTTTTGGTTTTAGAAAATCTTTTCTATAACTTTAAATCTTAACTATATCTTTGCATAAAGAACTAATTTGGGAAGCAAAATGTACTGAGATTACAGAAGTATTTAAGAAATACAAAAACATATAATATGAAGGAATGAGTGTCTGCCACAAATTCAAATTTTATAATTCTTTTATCTTTACAACCCGATGTCGTAGACCTTAGGTATTTTAAACTAGGGATTTGTTACAAAGATATAGGGATTAGAAAATATATTCCTTTAATATGTAAAATTGTTATGACTTGTTTTTAAATATTACCGAATACGAAGTTAAACCAATAAGCTCCATCTGTCAGTGCTTGAGCAACCTCTGGTATAAATTCTAGCAGTGATTAATCATGAGCATCCGTTTTCGAACATTCAAGGTTATTGAAGTTTTCAAACATTCAAGGTTATTGAAGTTTTTAAAACATTGAAGGTTATTGGAGTTTTTAAATATTCAAAGTTATTGGAGTTTTTTAAACATTCAAGGTTATTGGAGTTTTAAACATTCAAGGTTATTGGAGTTTTTAAATATTCAAAAATATTGGAGTTTTTTAAACATTCAAGGTTATTGGAGTTTTTAAACATTCAAGGTTATTGGAGTTTTAAAATATTCAAGGTTATTGGAGTTTTTAAGAATTCAAGGTTATTGGAGTTTTTAAACATTCAAGGTTGTTGAAGTTTTTAAGAATTCAAGGTTATTGGAGTTTTTAAACATTCAAGGTTATTGGAGTTTTTTAAACATTAAAGGTTATTGGAGTTTTTAAATATTAAAGGTTATTGGAGTTTTTAAATATTCAAGGTTATTGGAGTTTTTAAGCATTCAAGGTTAATTGAGTTTTTAAATATTCTAGGTTATTGGAGTTTTTAAATATTCAAGGTTAATTGAGTTTTAAAATATTTAAGATTATTGGAGTTTTTAAACATTCAAGGTTTATGAAGTTTATAAATATTCAAGGTTATTGGAGTTTTTAGATATTCAAGGTTCTTGGAGTTTTTACACATTCAAGGTTATTGGAGTTTTCAAACATTCAAGGTTATTGGAGTTTTTAAACATTCAAGGTTATTGGAGTTTTTTAAACATTCAAGGTTATTGGAGTTTTTAAATATTCAAGGTTACTGAAATACATTCAAGGTTATTGGAGTTTTTAAACATTAAAGGTTATTGGAGTTTTTAAATATTCAAGGTTATTGGAGTTTTTTAACATTCAAGGTTATTGGAGTTTTTAAATATTCAAGGTTATTGGAGTTTTCAAATATTCAAGGATGTTGTAGTTTTAAGAATTCATGGTTATTGGAGTTTTTAAACATTCAAGGTTGTTGGAGTTTTTAAGAATTCAAGGTTATTGGAGTTTTTTAAACATTCAAGGTTATTGGAGTTTTTAAATATTCAAGGTTAATGGAGTTTTTAAATATTCAAGGTTATTGGAGTTTTTAGATATTCAAAGTTATTAGAGTTTTTAAATATTCAAGGTTATTGAAATTTTTAGATATTCAAAGTTAATGGAGTTTTTAAATATTCAAGGTTATTAGAGTTTTTAAACATTCAAGGTTATTGGAGTTTTTAAACATTCAAGGTTATTGGAGTTTTTAAATTATCAACAAAAATATGAGATGTTAAACCTATAACAAAATTGTATGCACGATAAGTTTTCTTTTTTATTATCTTATGCAAAGTTTTACTCTGACCAGAGATTTGTTAAAAGGTTGGTAAAAAAACCAATCGTTTTAAAAAACACTTGATAAAAGGAAACTTATAGAAAATCAGATTGTTGACCTTTCCAGGTTGGATTCTTTCAGAGAACAATTAAAGCATGTAAAAAAACTTAAATGTGTGAATACGATGCCCTTCCCTAGAAGTGATGGAATATGAGATAGCTGTATACTAAACCTACCAACTATACACAAACACAAACATAATCAATTTTATTGTTTTTGAGAAATTAAAAACTATGAATCAGCCTCAAACTTTTATATTAATTTTGACTATTTGATCTAGTATAGTCTGTCAGTATAAAAAGTCTATACCATCAGTTTACAAATATTTAATTTTCAAAAAACTAATGATTTAGTCAAGATTTTAATTCATAATACATTTTTTTTTTAGAGTTTTAAAATGCTTAAAAACAAATTTTAAAGATTTAGTTAGACCTAAATGCACCGGGAGAAAATCCTAAACCAACTTTTTTGTTTTTAATCTTTAAAAAAACTTTTAATGTAAAGAAATAAAATAAATTAAAAGGTTCATCAATACAAAAAAGTGTGCCTGCCAAATCCAAGCGAAGGCTGGCCAGGCAAATCTTCCTGTTTTAGAATCTACTTCTATTTCAGATCGAACACGTTCAACTAAAAAAAAATATTAAATTTTCTAATTTCTAAAAACGCTTTTATAACTTCCTTACTTCTATTCAATTAATGTTGAGTAATGTTTAAATTGTATATTCCTAATAAAAAAGTACACATTTGAAATTCCAATAAAAATGTTAATTTTACAGGTTAACACTGTAAAAACCAAAATTTAAATTTTACAGATCTATACACTGTAAACACGGGATTCTACCTAGAATTGGCTCCGGAGGCAAATTACAAAGTTCTGGAAGCGGAATATCGAGGAAATCGAAGTCAACATCATTCATTCTTAAAAATAATCTCAAATCAGATTTTTTTTTTTCAATTTAGACCTGTATTTTTTTATACAAATTAACATGTCTAATAATATATCAGTCAAATATCAATCAATTATGTCAGCAGGCCGACGTTCTTTTGAACTCACTACAAACAAAATTGTTCAGTGTTCAAGCTCTCATGCAAAAATCGAATAGTATTTTGCCAATTACAACTCTTAAGCTTTGTGATCTTGTAGTTTCTCTGGTATCGATTTTACAAGTATTAGAATAGCAAAATTATTCGGCTAAACAATGAACATTTGGAACATTTCTGTACTTCTCATTAGCTCTTCAATTAAAGGAGTAATGATTAATAATAGAAGATATTAATCTTACGTGCAATATACTTCAGTTTGACTGACATGATATACAATGTAAATGGGTGTACCCACCCTCCCGTGGTTTTTTTCTAGATAACTTAAAAACGGTTGACATTAGAAATTCTTCACTTTAGACAATACAGGGTTACTAACAAAGCATGAGTCTTTAGAGACGACTGTTGGGAATTTACACTATCTGTTTCCTTATATTAACCCTATTAGGATTGGGGTATGGGGTTGGAGGGGTGTTTTTGATGCATAGTGGAACGGTGGGTAAAAGTAAAAATAACTATTTTTGAAAATTTTTCCGGCGTACTTTTTGAACTTTTAGAAAATCCTCCCTTCCACCCTAACCATTAAAGATAGAGGTCTAAATATTTTTTAGGACTTGAAAAGTTTGACTTGAGACATTACACTTCCTTTTCTCAACTCTAAGTGAAAAATCATAATTATAGTTTAGACAAAAATAGCCTAATCGAGAAAAGGCTAATGATTCCCCGCAATCTTGTTTCTTTCTTTGCAAAATAATCAAAAAGTTATAAAAGTAAACATTTGTCAGCATAAAACATGAACTAAACATTTGTCAGCATAAAACATGAAAGTAAACATTTGTCAGCTGAAATTATGATAAACATTTGTCAGCATAAAATATGAAATAAACATTTGTCAGCATAAAACATGAAAGTAAACATTTGTCAGTTGAAATTATGATAAACATTTGTCAGCATAAAACATGAACTAAACGTTTGTCAGCATAAAACATGAAAGTAATCATTTGTCAGCTGAAATTATGATAAAAATTTGTCAGCATAAAATATGAAATAAACATTTGTCAGCATAAAACATGAAAGTAAACATTTGTCAGCATAAATTATGTAAACATTTGTCAGCATAAATTATGATAAACATTTGTCAGCATAAATCATATATGAAATAAACATTTGTCAGCATAAATTATGTGAAACATTTGTCAGCATAAAACATAAAAAGAAACATTTGTCAGCATAAATTATGGTTAACATTTTTCAGCATAAAACATGAAAGTAAACATTTGTCAGCATAAAACATGAAATAAACATTTGTCAGCATAAATCATGTAATAAGTATTTGTCAGCATAAATCATAAAAGTAGATATTTTTCGGTATAAATCATGAAAGTAAACATTTGTCAGCATAAATCATGAAAGTAATCGTTTGTCAGCATAAATCATAAAAGTAAACATTTGTCAGCATAAATCATAAAAATAAACATTTGTCAGCATAAATTATGAAAGTAAACATTTGTCAGCATAAATCATAAAAATAAACATTTGTCAGCATAAATCATAAAAGTAAACATTTGTCAGCATAAAACATGAAATAAACATGTGTCAGCATAAAACATGAAATAAATATTTGTCAGCATAAATCATAAAAGTAAACAATTGTCAGCATTAATGATGAAAGTAAACATTTATCCTCATAAATCATAAAAGTAAACATTTGTCAGCATAAATCATAAAAGAAAACAAAAGTTTAAGAGTAGATCATAACATGATACGCTGATTGGTTGAATTTTATGCTTCTTTCTTGGATATCGAATGCGTATAAAAAATAATCTCGGGTTTTGTGAAGCCAGGAGTTTAATCATTAATCTTGATATCGACCATTCTAAAGTTTTCAGCTCAGGAAGCCTAGAATAAGGTAAACAGTTGTCAGCTAAAATCATGTAATAAACATTTGTCAGCATAAATCACGAAAGTAAACATTTGTCAGCATAAAACATGAAAGTATAAGAAAATCAAGTTTAATTGGTTGCATTTTAAAAATTTAATCTAATTTATTCTTCTCAATCCTTTGAGAAATATCCAAATATCCAAGCATAAAATTTATGTTAACTTTAAGTAAACATTGTTTTTTATAAACTTAAAAAAGTATCATTGTATTAAAATACTTAAATTTTATTATGTGCACTTTAATGCAGTTTGTCAGGGACCCCTCGCAAGCCGATACAAGCCGAATTCAGGGCCACCCTAACATAACATAAACAAATTTTGGCCTTGCAGTGCTTCAAGCATCAAGGAATGTTTATTCTTCACAAAATATAATTTTTATATTTTTATATCCGTTCCAAGAAATTTTATCCATTATTATAAATTTTTTCTGAATATTTTTAATTTTATGGATTTCATGGAATCGAAAGTGAATCTGCTAGTTGGACTGATCTTATCTACTAAAATAGTTATTATTATCATGATTATTATTATCATTATAACTAATATTATTAGTGTAATTATCATTTTCAAAATCATTATTATTATTATTATTATTATTATTTAATTATTTTCACTATATTTATTATTTTAGTCATTGCTATTTTCAATGTTATTGTTATTATTACAATAATCACTGTTATCATTGTTATCAAAAATGTATTTAGTATCAATATTATTATGATTTTCTTAATAATATGATATTAATAAATTGATCTATTTGTTTTTGTTTTCTGAACTCAGAGAAAAATGAGAACATATTCTTTGTTACTGTTGTTCCTCTGTTTTAAAAGGTAAATAAAAAAATATTCATCTTTTCTACAAAAGTTATGCAGCAAATGTTCAGACCGTGCTGTATCAGTTTTTAGCCTTTGGGTATTTTTCACCTACTCACACTTCTGCTTTTTTGTAGCCCTGGAAAAAACTGCGAAAAGGAGTTTCTAAAAAAGTACTTTTTCATTTGAGTTATTTTAAGACTTCTATCAAAGTTTCTTTTGATTTTTTTAAATTTAGAATCTTTTCAATCGGAAGTTTTAACTAAATTGTGACGTTCAATAGCTCCTGTAGTTTTGATTTTACGCCGAAGTTTGAGAAATTTTATATATATATATATATATATATAAAACACTTTTTCACTTTCAATGTAGCAACAAATATTCTTCAGTTTGAAATGTTTTAGATTTTCCTGCTTTTATTCTAGCATTTGATTAGATTCATAGTATAAGTATCTTTTTTTTGAGAGTCTCTAATCGATCTTTTATTTAGCTTCAGAGTTACCGATCATAGGTAGAAATGTAAATTATAATTTCGGATAGAATTGGAGTACAAGGATTGGGTTAATGTGGACATTGAAGAGGAATTAAGTCTTTGCCAAAAATGTTCAAATTTTTATATCTTTAACCAATCCAATGTCGAGAAACTTAGATATTTCAAACTATAAATTCTGTTAAATCAAATAGTATAAGTTTGAAATATAAAAAGTTTATACCATCAGTTTACAAAGATATAGAGATGTGGCAAAGACTCTAATCCGTTCACCAAGTTTTGTTTAGTGGTGTTCCTTACTGCTGGAAACCAAACCATAATCCGTTCCAGGGTGTTCCTGAGGTTACCAGACTTGATGCATCGTCAGGAACAGAAACATTTTTTAAATTATGCATTTTTTTAAAACTAGGCTTTGGAAAATTGCAAATTCTTCAAATTATCTTAAAATTTTCAAATATATTTTTTGATTCGCAAAAATATTTAAAGAATTATGCGTTAAATATATCTAGATTTTCTTTGGTTGATTTTTCAGTGATTTTTTTTGGATTGAGAAAAAACTTTGTAATAATTTGTTTCTTTGAAGTTCGGCTTGTTTGGGAAGACATTTTTCCTAAGGGGACAGGTAATCTCCCCCCCCCCCAATCTAACCCCTCCCTTTGGCCCCTCCCATTCTTAAAAAAGAAAACAAGATATTTGAAATTTTGCAGAATTTATGTTATTTATCTAATTTCGTTGTTGTGAGATCCTGTTTAAAGTTTGATATGCTCAATTGAATCTTTTCACTAATCAAAAATGAGAAAAATGTTAAATTTTAACAAGTCCATCTTTTGTTTAAAAAAAGAAACTGCTATGAAAAATGCCCAAAAAAATTAATAAAACGTGATTACCTTAATTCATCGTGGGGATTAGTGCCTGATAAAAAGATTAACTACTAAAAAGTTTCAATCTAAGTGAAAAGATTCATCGATTATAGGTTTTAATGTTTGTTTAGGATGTGAAGATGTTGATTTTTTAATCAAATCACATCCCTTGGAATCTCCATCAAACTACAAGGAGTTTATTATAAAATGATATAACAAGAATTTAATTTTAGTAAGTGTAGTTTTTGAAAATCAAAAGATTTTATATTTCATGTCTGAAATTTTTGACCACCAAAAGAAAAATGCAAAATAGCTCCGCAAAAAGTCTTTTTCCGGACAGTGTTAAAAAAACAATCTGAGCTGAAAACTTTAAAATGAGATATCATTAATCCCGATCTGTTAACTAATTTGGAGATTAATAATAAAATGAGAACAAGCACTATTCAATCTGGAGATTAAGAAAAAGAGAAGATCAAGCATTGATCTCGATATCTACCATTCTAAAGTTCGGATATTAGTTCAAAAGATATATCTGTAATTGTTATCAAACGTAACTTTTATAAAGTAGATGTTTCGCTACTTAGCGATTTCCCTAAAGACCTAATATATGTACCGTGTGGTATTTCTCAAGACCGGATCGTAAGACTTCCTTCTCTCAACGCTCATATTTCATAACAAAAGGATGATAATAAGGTTCCGAACGTTTATTTCTCTGAGTCTTCAATCTAAATAAGTTTAATAAACCCACAGAAAAAGCTTTGAGTGATAAATCATACGAATACAACAGATAATCCACTAAGCATTAAAAAACTGTGGCAAGGAACCAACAAACACATTTGTAAATATCAATCATAATATAATCAACCGATAAGCATACGTATATATATAAGAAATAATTACCACAGTGATCCTAGAATTCTGGACACGGTTACACTTGCAAAAAAAATAAACATATACTAATATAAAACTGTTCACTCCCACGCGAGAAATCTTGCGCCTGCGTAGTCAGTCTGTAAACAGCTCCTAAAACTAGTTCTTTCACAATACGTTCTGTACAGATCCTCAGGGAGAACTCAGAAATACACAGGGGCATCAAGTAGACTTTATACACGGAGCATGGCTCGCGTAACAGTAGAAATATCCAAAAAGAGGATTATGAAGAAAATTAAAAGTGTGTACATTGGATACTCAGATTAAGTAATCGTGATTAAGGATATCTCATTCTAAAGTTTCAGCTCTGACTACATAAGTAAATTTTAGTTAAAGGGACTGGAAATGGCCGATTTATAACGATACCCTTAAACGTTTTGTCTGATTAAGTATGAATTAGATATCCATGTTTTTATTCTTAAACTGTTTATTTGCGTGCTTTCTCTGTGCATTTACTGTTTTTAAGAAACTATGGAGAATTTCATAGAAATATACACTTTTCGACGAGTCAGAAAACGACAATATCTTTTACACTATTGATCATTTGTAGGTTTCAAGGATACCGTTGTGAATCGGGCATTGTCATCTTTGCATGGAGGGTCACTTTAAATTACACTTACAGACTCTTTAAGTCTATTAGAAATTAAACTTTATTATATGAATACATTATCAATCATTTTATAATTTATCACTTCCAGTTGTCTGATTTTACATTGCGAGGACAACGTTCAGCAACCCTTACTGTTCCTTCTGGATCAGATTTCATTTTTCAGGTCAAATTGGTCAAATCGGTCAAAACATAATTTTGGGGGTTTAATTCAGGGTGTTTAGAATTTTTTTTTCGTATTTCATCAATTGTAATTTGGTGTTTGCATGATCTCGTATATCAGATTAAAAATGGAAATTTTTACTTGCAAAGTGGGGTATTATTTATCATATTTTGACTAAAGCAATGTCAACTATTTTCTCCAAAATTTTACTTGAAAAATTTATCTTTTTTAAAAATTGTGCACATCAGAAACAAGAAAGCTATATGAAACTCTGAATGTCTTTTTTTCGCTAATCATTTCTTAAATTATAATTAATATAAAGGCTTACCCACAAAGGATGAGACTGTAAAGACGACCTGAAACTCTTAAAATATAACAATTTAGTCTTCTGACAGCTGTCTTGAATACAGTCTTTAAAAGACTTATTTAATCGTTTGGGAAAGAAATAAAAAAGTTTATAGTTCCAGGGAATCATCAATATATGGAAACAGTTGTCTCTGAAGGTTTATTCTTTGTGAATTGTGGGGAACTTGTCTCACAGAATCGATTGCGACATTGTATTAATTTTCATATTAGGTTATATCCCGGGTAGACGACATTCATGATTACACTTTTTTATTTTAGGTTATAGCACGTGAAGACAAGGGTTCAAGTGTTGGTATTGAGTATGCGTATTCTAGACCTGCAACAAGCCTAGCCAACCCTACAGATAAACAGAAGGCAAAACATTTTTGAGATAAGAATAATAACAATAATAATAATGTTAATAACAATTATAATGATAATAATAATAATAACAATAACTGGCTGAAAGGCCCAGCGTTGCCCGATGAAAAAAAAATGTGAGAAAACAAATAATCGATTTTTTAGCGTATGACAACCCCCCCCCCCCGGCCACCCTTAAGTGTCCACCAAAAATTTCAGCCCAATCGGTATAGCCGTTTGGTCGGCCATAAGCATCTTGTATATGAATTAAAATAGAAAAAAAATTTAAATTAAATATAAACAAAAGAATAAAATAACAACAGCAAACAAAGCAGAAAGGATACTAAAGGGGTGCTAAAAGGGTGGGATCTCTATTTTGTTTAAGAGACTGTATTGTATGTAATCGTAATTTCAAGTGACCCTCCATGACTAGATGGCCATGCTTGATTCACATTGGTACTCTTAGCCATGTCCAATTCACATTGGTACTCTTGAACGCTTTGCCGGCCTGATCTTAAGTATGAATTATACATATTACATACATCAATTTTTATAATTTTGAAAACTGATTATTTTCAAATAAGAAAAACAACAATATCTTAAATTTTTTTATCAGATTAATGTTTCAAGGGTATTGTAGTGAATCGAGCATTGCCATCTGTGAATTTTGTGTCACTTAAAATTACGCTTACAGTCCCTTCAAGGGAATACTAAATTCTAGAAAGTTAAAAATTACATTCAATGCATGCATTGAGTCTTGATCCCCGGATGTTCGGGTTTTCTCCAATAGTTGACAAATAATGATTGCAAAGTTTATAAGTACTAATGAACAACTTCCGGAGGTTGAAATTGTTGGTTGTTAATTTGTTATCCACAACGGAATCTTAAAGAATTATTTTTTTGAAAATGGGTAAACATTTTTAAAATTCTAGTGTTATATAGGAACAACTTAAATACATGATCTAATAAGACTTAACCCCCCAAGACCGGATAGAAAGAGAAACGCATTAACGCTTTAGGAAAAGATTAACCAGCCAATAGTTCCGGGCTTAGAGCTCACTGAACATCAGGGTCTAAACCGTTGATCTTGGATTATTAAAAACATTTATTTTCCAGGATACGTTGAAGAAAAGTATATGGGTTGCTGGAACGAATTCAAGAACTGGGGGAAATGGGTAAACTTCTTTTATATGATTATATTCCCCCCCCCCTTGCACACGGTTGCAGTGAGAACCAGAAAACTCTGGAAAATGGAGGACTTTTAGAGTCAAGGTTTGACTTGAAGTAGTCAAATTAACACAGAAATTGTCTGTGTAAACAGACCAATTTCGCATAGTAAGTCGAATTAGTTACTACACAAGCATTTCCACAGTTTTCTGGTTCTTAAATAATTTATATTCCTCAGTTAGGGGGGATGGGATTTGTGTAATTATACTGTTAACCCAGCCAAGGGTTCTCCAATGTGTATATTGTATCATATAGTTCATTGCTCCCAGTTGGAGAAATAAAGCCTAAAAAATGCAATCCAAGAATAAAGCCAAACAATTTAGACCCAGTCTAAGAGGATATTGAACCCCAAGTATGTTTGCAACCGTAGTATTGAACCCCCTTTCTAATCTAGAGATATCAGGTTGGTACCTTTTAAAGGGCGAAGCTAGGGTAAGATTGATGCTGGAGAAAGAAGTAACACAGCATTTATCTAGCCAGAGAAGAAAGTAGTATTGTCAGCCATTTTATCCCGGAATCGCGCAAGACCTCTGCAGTTAGCCCAAAGAATTTGATCAAAAAAGTATAATGGAAATATATTCGCCCCAGGCGAATGTTGTGTGTATTTAGATCAATTTTGTTGGTCCAAAACTAATTTTTTTTGTATCGTTATAATGTAAATATAGTTTTAGTGCAACCATGCTTCATTATTCCACTCAATCTTGGCTTTCTACTACTGAGTTCTCTTCAAGTCTATAATACACATTACAGTAACGTATAAATAAACTAAATAGATAAATAAATATTAGAACTTCTCTGTATCTGGTTGAAAAAAATAAACAGTAGCTAGTAAACAAGCTCTGCCTGCCTTTAAACCTTCCCTAGAAAATTCTTACCTTTGTTTACAATCTTTGCTGTTGATTTAAAAGAAGCTAAACAATTCGATGACATCACGGACAGCCGTAGTACATTTAAATTTCTGAACCTTTCTGGTCCCAATTTTTCTGTATCGCCCGGACATTGGGTAAATAAAGCAGACTTTAGGTCAGACTCTAGTTTGAATTTACTTTTACTGAAGGGTCAGAGGTGCGTGACATAGAGATGACAATGCACACACATAGATACAGGGTTACCCACAAAGACGACCTAAAACTTATAAAATATGACGATTCTGTTAAGTCTTCTGTCTTAAATATTGTCTTTGAATGGCCTATTTATTGACATGGCAACGAAAGAAACAAGTTTAAAAGTGGCAGAGAATCCTAAATATAAGGAAATTGACAATTTAAATCTGTACAGTCGTCTCTTAAGTATCATCCTTTGTGGGTAACCCTGTATGACCGGAAGATACCGTCTTCTTCAGAAGATCCTAGCCTGTAACGCTTTTACATTCTGTTTAGTGTAATCCTTCTAGTAGAATACGAACTTTTTAAAAAAATCTAAGCTTACAATTTTCGAATTAAAAAAAAAATCATAAAATTAAAGATTTTTTACAAGATTTGTATTTAGATACATTTATCACCGTAAACAAAATATTCTAAAGGGATCATTAACAAAAGAAATTAAAGGAAATGTTCGCAAAATAAATTAAAGTAAATTTAGCAACATTTTTTTAAAGGGATGCAGAAGATCGTTATGATCCACTTCCCCGCCCTACCCTACCCTCATATAGACAACCACGCCCTACTACTCCTGCAACTCCTCAACCACGCCCTTCCACTACTGCAGCTCTTCAACAACGCCCTACCACTCCTTCTGCTCTTCGACCACGCCCTACTCCACCCACCTTGGCTCGGGACACACCTTCTCAAACAGTAATTTAGAATTTAAAGGGACTGTACGCTTAAATTAAAGTGGTCATTCATTCAAAATGAAAACCTATATTTTATAAATAACCGTTTTTCTAGCCTACAAGTGTTTAATTCTCTTAATTTCCTCCAATTTTTCCAAAGCAGAAATCAGCAAGTTACTTTTATAATGGTATTCGCACATTTGAAAGTAATCATTTTTCAAAGTTAAAAAATAGATATCTCATGCATGTTTTTTGAATATCACTTGAAATTAAAATGACAGTTCCTTTAGCCAGTGAACTCATCACTTTGCAATAACATAAAAAAAACATTAACGAACATTTCGAAAAAATGAACAGGCCTAGGCTTAACTTGAACTGTTTTAAATTTCGATCAGTATCATTTTTAATTAATGAGAAAAGTGCAAAAAACGTTTGTTGCTTAGTTTGGGAAAACTTAGACATTTGGACCGGTTAGTAAGAATTTAGATATTACCAACATTTTTTTTTTTCTAAATTTGAATTTGAATTTGAATTTGAAACTTTGAATGTGGAATAATTCGATCACATTCTGTTCATAGCTTCAAAGTTTTTTTTCCGTAGTCTCATGCCACCCCGGACTAACCAGAGTTAGAGACATTCGGTTTCTTCTATTTGAAATCATACGCGTTTTGGTTTATATTTATTATATTTATAACAACCTTTAAATTTACGGATTTGTTTGTTTAATACTTTTTATTCAAAACGTGTATGCCGACATAAAAGTATTTAAGAAAGAAGGCTGAAAAATTAGGTTTTATAGGAGAAATTGTGATCAAAATCATAACTTTCCGGAAAATTGACAGAACCATTAAATCCACGTGATGCTTACGATTGGTCAATATTTAGAACCAAATTTTAGTTTTTTCTATGAGTGTTATACATAAATTACTAAACCATGAACACCGCACTGTAAAATATAAAACACGCCGTTTCAAAACATATTTAAAAACAATAATATCAAAAATGATTTATTTACTAAATTGAAAGGGAACGTTCACTTATTTGGGTAATTTCATGGTAAACTAAATATGTTCCATTTTCAGGACAATCCACTAAAGTCTTTTCATGAGCAGTATTCAAATCCCTCAAATACGTTTCATCAAGAAACTGAGTAAGTTTTTACGATAAAAACTAAAAAAATTGTTTACAGTGCATGAGAACCCAAAAACTCTGGAATAGAAAGAAGTCATGTTATGATTTTTAAAATACTAGGCTTTTAGGGCACTTCGCGCTCCTCTTCTATTTCAATTGTAAGCATGTTCTCTTTGTGTTTATGGTATAACAAAACAAAACAAAACAAAAAGTTCGAAGATTTCATAAAAAAAATTTCGTGGATTTTCAAAATTTTCAAACATGTAATCTAAAACGATTTTTTTGGAGGGAAATTTTTGGAAAGTTGGGCCCAATCGGTTTAGTCACTTTGACGTTTATTGGATCCTGAGACCCACCCAGACAAGNCTGGTTTTCAAGTACCCCAGCAGAGATAGGGTTAAGCAACTAGCATAACATTTTGCTTCGTAAAATTATCAAATATCCTACTATTCCACAGTTATGTGGTATATATGAATGATTAACTCTAAAGTTTTGAGCTAAAAATGTTATTGCAAACAAATTTCCTGCCAATTAGCTTTTATTTTTTTTATTTTTTAATTGATTTTTCTTAAAAGAAATGTTTTGAATCTTTAAAGTTTGTATTTACTTTTATTAAACAATTGTTTTAAAAACATTTTTAAGAAATATTTTTAGGAAATCCTCAACAGAAAGGGTTTATTTGAAACCCCAGGTTAAAGCACTGGACTCTAATCCTGACTACTATAACGGATTAGGTGATCATTGAAAGTGTTTAAAAGGGGTATTTACATACAGCTTACCACAGAGATTTTGAGACACCGAAAGAATTTATGAAATGATGCATTGACAATTATCAATGGGGTTTATACTAATTTACGTAAATCTCAGTAATTGCAAAAATAAATAAATAGCAATGAAATATGCCGGAACAGTTTTAAAGATCTCCATATAATCATTTAATAAAAAAAACTAAATATCTGCAACATTCCATTATCAGATAGTGAGGAATACGACATTTTATGAATTCTTCCGATGTCTCTTCATATTGTATAAAACTTTAAATAAAAAAGGTTGCATTGTGGATTAAAACTTGATCTCGATATTTTGTTGATCTGCAGATTAACTTAATTTGTATTCGATCCCGCATAGTGAATATTAAATTTCACAAGAATATAATTGTAAATTTTGCGTACTGTATTGTTTAGCCTTACATTGTCTGTATATGTACAGCACAGCTTGCTCTAGCAGGTTCAAAGTCGGCCCGGTACATGAAGTGAACCGGAGTTTCCAGTGTAGTAATCGAACCATGGATTAATAACTAAAATGAAGATATAAAGCATTGATCCTCAAGTCAAAAGTGCCCATAGTAGATATCAGATCAAACTATTGGAATTATGAGTGTTTCATCTCAGTTAACATTTATTTTCAAAGACAAACATTTAAAAAATATCTAAATTAAAAAAAGGATTTAAAATTTGAAATGTTTTCCCGCTTTTATAGATGAGAATGTTGAAGTGAACCCCTGGTATATCTATGAGTGTGTACCACTATTGAAAAATCTACCAACTACTCAGGAATCATCAAATTCAATTCTAAAGGTAAAAAAACGATCGTTGTTATGAAGATTCCTGAGAGGAACTTAAAAAAACTCAACATGCTCAGGTGCACGTTAGTAATTTAGTTTGGGGCGCATACATGCCCTTATTATTACGAAGAGGTACAGATGATTTTTATAAACATTCTTTTAGTAGAGTCTTGTACATCATGGTCAAAAGTGAAAGCCGGATATTATAGAAGAAATCTGAAACTAATTTTTATTTATTGAGCTATGAACTTAAGTAATTGACAATCATTTGAAAAATGGCGTTACAAATTTGTGTCTCAACTAAGTGTTAAGAACAAATTTTACTAATGATTTTTACATTTTATTTTTGTAGAAGTTCATTCAGCACATGAACGGAAATGCAGTACACACAGGGATATTCCAGTGTTTTTTCTTCTTCATAATACACAAACTTAAAAAACAGCAAAAAATGAATTGAAAAATGAAATAGATTCTGATTTGCCATAACTTGAAATGAAGCTTTAAGGTCAAGGATACTGATTTTTTTAATTTTTCAAAATCTTCACAACAATTACTAAAGCAGATAATTTTTTTTTTTATTTACTTTTTATTTTAAAACTGAATATGATTAGTCCGGAACTTTATCAGTAATGAGAAGAGTTGTAATAAAGAGGAGAGAAAGAGAGGTAATTTTTAATCCAATCATTTGAATCAGATTTATCAGTTTTGGAAATGGATTAAGCTGCGCTTAGTTTCCACCTACGACCAAGATTATGACCGAATTTGATAAAATCCAAAATAAATTTTAAATTAATAGAGATGGCCGTGGGTGTGTCTGGCTTTATCTTCATTTTGTTCATTCATTGTTAGTAAACGACCCATTTCGTTATTTTTTTTCCAATCGTTAAATAAAAAAATTATCTCAAAATGATTGTTCATTTTCCATCCATTTCGTTCGTTTTCTTATAGTGAACGATCGTTCAGTAAATTCGTACGATCAAAAGAATCGTTTAATAAAAAACCTATTATTTAATAATAATTTTCCTCCAAAACCGTTTGTTAAGTAAATAAAATTTTTGTTTGAACAATTTTAAATCGTTTGTATTTTTTTTCGTTTTTAAAAATTATCGTTTTTTCATTGCATTTTCACTGCGAAAGTGACATGAATGCGCATTTTTTGTTTTTAAGAAGCAATGAAGAAACTCACAGAAGTAAAAAGTTTTCGAGTCTGAAAATCGGCGGTATCTTCCACATTTTGATCAAATAAAGGTTTTAAAGGAACCGTTGTGAATCGAACATTTCAATCTTCGCACGGAGGTTCACTTAAAATTACGCTTCCAATCCCTTTAAAGGACACCTAGTGTCTGCAGATGGAACTAACAAGTGCTGCTCTACTCCCTGGGGGGATAATAGTCCACAGTCTGTCTGTTATGATCAGTTTGCAAGGTAAAAGGGAATGTTTGAGAACATTTGCTTTTACAATTAAAAATGAAGAATAATGATCCATTGAAGGGTCAGATTAAACATAACTTAGTGTAAAATGTAAGCTGTAACTTTTTGGAAAATATTCTGATTTAAAAAAAGAAGATCACAAAAGAAAGTAAAAAATTATTGATGTTTTATCTCATAAACAATGCTCATACATGTCAGCTATAGCTGGCAAAATGGTTGGACTGAAAAGGCTGACATTTTGACAATGTAAGTCGTCGTCGTATATATCAATACAATGAAGACAATTTTGTTTGTTCCTACCAAGCTTTCAATAGCAGAAACACATTAACACATTAACATGTAAACATGTAAACAGCTTTACTTTGCTTACATAGAAACAAGCACTTTGAGAAACGCTCGTAAGGAACCAAAGCATTATTAATAAAAAGTCGTCTTCATTGTATTGATATAAACGCCGACCACCGTAGGTTATATAATAAAAAAAACATAATTTTATATTTGTGTAGGTGTGATGGTGATTGTATCCCCCAAGACTGGATCGAGGACGGTTGGCCGGATTGTATGGACGGAGCGGACGAATCTAATCTAGCAGTCGACGGAAAGGTCGTCCTCAATAAATTAAAATCTCTGCCATTTTGTTTTTAAAATTTAACCATAGAAAGTGTTTAAAAATGACAATTGTTTTGTTCAATATTATGAATAGAATTGCAAATTTTTTAAAAGCGAATTTGTACATACAAAAATAATTTGCAAAATTTGCAACAGAATTAGGGAGGATTTAAGAAAACCTAAAAATGAGAAATTTCTTTTAAAAGCATATGCGTCTGTTCCCTAAATTATGCAAAACATCGTTGAAAAAGTATTTTCATCATGGTCGTTCCAAAGTAGGTAAAATAAAAAAACTGTCTCAATTATTGATAGTGTACAGTGATAACTAGAAAACTGTGGAATATGAAGCCGACATTAAAGCGTTTTAAACAGGGGGGATGATAGTTCTCTACCTGTGTGCTCAGTTAGCTGTACTGTACACTTGCAACTGTTTACTAATATTGATATACTATAGGTTAGGCCAGAATAAACTTAAAATAAACAAATATGAAGTACGCTCTCGGTATAGCTTATGGCCTATACAATTAGTAAAGGATTGGCGTACATCATCACTCTATACCCTATAACCTCGTTGGTTTTAAAACAAAGATTTTTACCAATAACGATTATTAAATTGCTTATTATGTAAAATGAGTCGGTTCAATCGACTATTCAAAGTCAATAACTTTAGTCTAAGAGCTTTTCTGGTTCTCAGAACTTTAAATATACTTTTTCTTTAGGTTCTTCCGTTTCAGCTTGGATGCATCCATTGCGCTGGTGTTGTTCTATCCGCAGGATTTCTTTGTAGAGAGTCTGGCGGATTAACAAGGTCAATTCTTCGCAGATTTTCACCAAAAAAATTAACTCAAGAGTTGGTTTTTTTCTTTATTTTAATTATCTCTGTAAAAAAATTGTGCGTTTGATTTTATAATCCCTATATATTTGCAACCTTGTACAGACCTTAGATATTTCATTTTTCATCTTTATTTCAATTAAAGAAGTGCCACTGGTTTGTTTAAAGTTTACTGTCTACAATTGATATAAACACACCTTAATCAATTTTAAAATCATTTGTTATGGTAGGGTATAGAGGACGGTCAAATGGCTGGCCGGTGTTTAAAAAATAAAAAATATTTTTTGAATTACACATCTAAAATTTTCTTATTTATTTGAAGTTGAAATAAATATTTTAAAACATTTTTCCAAGGTTCTTCTTAAATCTTTTTAAAAACCATCCGGCCTTTAATAAGCAAAACAATAAAATTCCCAGACAGCTTTTCCTTCGCAAATTCTTAGATCCTTTAAATCAAGAAGGGTCAATGGGATTACCTCAACAATGAGAGCGGTATGGATGATACTAATTATAATTGTTTTTAGATCATGCGTTGAAGGTATTCTTGGACCAGGAGAATGTAATGTGTGCATTGGAGAATATATGAATCTTTAGAATTTTAATTATATTCTTATTTTCTATTGGTTGTAACAAATAGAGCTCTTTCCTTTTAAAAAAATGAATTGGGTCGTTGCCACTAACTCAAATTTCAAAATCTTCGCAACCTGATGGGTTAAACCCTTAATATTATTTGGCAAATTTATAAGGTTATATTATAAGACCAGAGTTTGTGACAAAGACTCAATTCCTTTATCTTGCAACTCGATTATATGTATGTTTGAATACTTTTTGCCAATGCTATTATACTATTCACAAAGGTACCCTGAGGAAGAAAGTGCCATTTTTGATAATTTTTGCGGCGACCTTTTCTTGAAATGCATAGAACATTTTTAATTTCATCATAATACATGTATTTAAATTTTTTTTTGAATTTTCAACCAAAACAATAATTTGAAGTTGGCAGATTTCATTTTTAATAATACATGTAATCTAAAGGTGACAGAAAATATCCAAAAAAAGGTGTCAGAACTTTCCCTGGGATATTTAGAAAGGTGAAAATGATATTTGAAGGATTGAAGTATGGTTTTGGTAAATCATAAAGACATATTAAAGGGAATGTTCGTGAAAAATGAAAGGGGGTATAGGCTTAATGCGATAAAAAAGCGCTTTTGATCGCTACTAATCTTACTTCTATCTGTTGCGTATAAGGAGAAACTTATTAAAGACGTCTCATACCGAATAACTTAGCGCCCATACAAATTCAGAAAATTGCAACATACTACTTAGACCGTATAAAATCCATTTAATTTCAAACAAATCATTAATACAGTACAACCTATAGTCATCAATTTTTTTAGAAAATGTTTTAACTGATTTTGAAAAATGTGAGTGGTCCGCGGCATTCTTAGATAGTTGCGCAAGCGACAAGAAATCAAATTCAAAACAAATTAATTAAAAAATATTATAAAATATAAACTATATACAAATATGGCGAAAGATAATCGATGACTATAGGGTGTAATATCTAAATGATTTGTTTGAAATTAAATTGATTTTTTACGGTCTAAGTCGTATGTTGCAATTTTCTCAATTTGTATGGGCGCTAAGTTATTCGGTATTAGTCGTTTTTAACAATTTTCTCCTTATATACACAACAGATAGAAGTAAGATTAGTAGCGATCAAAAGCGCTTTTTTATCGCATTAAGCCTATACCCCCTTTCATTTTTCGCGAACACTTAAGCCTTCAATTATCCTAACCGGGTAATTTTTATTTTTTTCTGGGAAAGTTCTGACACCTTTTTCTGAATTTTATTTTTTAGATAAACCATTTTTTTACATGTGAATTATGATAATAACTAATTTCATATTTAGTTTTAATCTTTTTTCAGTCATATTTTCATACACTATTAAATTGTTTTACTATAAAAAAGTGCGTACATTACCAGAATCATATAAGACTGAACAATTTGTAAATTCGTTATAAGCAATTTGTAATAAAAGTAACATATTATACTAATTTTTACATAAAACTATCATTTCAGTTATGAACTTTGTAAATTGTGTAAATTATTTTTTTTTTCAAGACATTTTCAGGGAAATAAAGTTCCAAACCGTGCTTATGTTCCAAACAATTATTATTATCAATGTTTTGGTCATTTTTTTTTGTGCTCAGTGCAAATTTTAATTAAAGAAACCATTTCTAACATATTATGAAGCACGACGAGAACTACAAAAAACACTATTTACTTTTTTTCTAAAATTAAAACTGTGAGTGTCAAATAATTTGTAAATTTAACTATTTTTTATTAAAGTATGCAGACGGTTTTTTACTTGTCGACTTAAATTGAAAATAGTTAAAAATGATAACTTTGCACATTTGGAACTTTCTTCCTCTGAATGTACATGTATAGTATACATCTATATATAAATTTGGCTTGTCTGTCTGGGTGTCTGTTTGTTTGTATCCAATAAACGTCAAAACGGCTGAACCTGTCGGGCCCCAATTTGTTGTGGGACATCACGTGACCACAGGGAAGGTTTATGAATGATAAAATTAAAAAAATGTGTTTTAAAGGTTTTTAATTTTGTAAAAAAAATTAAATTCTTGAAAATCCGAGAATTTCTTTTTTAAAAATCCGCAAAAATTTTTTCTTCTTTGTTTTAAAATGTAAACAAAACAAACATGTTCACAATTTAAATAGAAGATGGGCGCGAAGCACCCTAAAAGCCTAGAAAGAAGGGCGCGAAGCGCCTTGAATTTCTAGTCTATAAATAAATTTGGTTTGTCGTCTGTCAGTTTGTATCCAATAAACGTCAAAACGGCTGAACCGATCGGGCCCAAATTTTGTTTGGGAACTCACGTGACCCCTGGGAAGGTTCATGAATGATCAAAATTTGAAAAATTTGTGTTTGAAATTTTTTATTTTGTAAAAATTTGTTAAATCTTGAAAATCCGCGAAATTTTTTTTTCTTTTTTAATGTAAGAGAACACGTTCACAGTTGAAATTGAAGATGGGTGCGAAGCGCCCTAAAAGCTTAGTATACAATTTATCATTAAAAAGAAGCGTTAAACAATATTCGATTTTTTTTAAATGTAAAAATAATCGGAGAAAAGCGTTAATAAATAATTATTATTTCAATTTCTACAATTCTAATCCTTTTATCTGAATTGAGAGCAGATTAATTAAGTAGGTTTTATCATGTAAATCAACACAACAAAGAACTGGACTAAAACTAGTCACTTAATTCCACTCCAGGCTGTGTGTGCGGAATCCAATTGTATGGATAGGGTATGCTTCCGGACTATACCAACCTGATGTGAACTCAGGATTTTAAGCCTCTCATGTTTGAATATATAAGTATTTAAACCAGAATAGAATACAGGGTGTCCTTCAAGTTTTCTTAAATTTCAATGATCTTAAGAAAACACATGTTTACCATTAAAAACAGATTCATACAAAGTAAAAATGTGCTTAAAACAGAAAAAAACGTTAAACTGTGGAAAATCGATTAAAGAATCCTAAGAAACAGCAGAAACTGGCGGAATAAAAGTTATGAAGAATCAGCCAAATAGACCGACTTAAAAAAGAAGAAAGGAAACATCAAAAACAAATCGACTAAAGGAAACAGCAGGAACAAATCAACTAAAGGAAGAAGCAAAAGCTAACAGACTAAAACATTTGAAAAAAAAACAGCAGAAACAGACCGACAAATATATATTAATTCCAGAGAATTTCCAGATACCATTTCCTGATAATATCTTTATAACAATTCCGGAGAAATTCCTGTGATCCATTTTGAGGAATTTCTCGCAACAATATATCCGAAGAAAATCCGGTAAAAATGTCGACAAAATCTAAGGAATTTCTCGAGAATTTCCAGAGAATGGGTTCACCAAAAAACGAAAGAAATTTTCGGGTCCAATTCCAGGGAACTTTTTGTAACCAATTCCGGAGAAATTCTCAAGTCCGATTCCGGAGAAAATCTTAAAATTAATTACCGAGAATTTTCTAAATAAAATTCCAGAGAAATTCCTGAATCCAATTCCGGAAAAAATTCTTCGGTATGGGTTACGAGAAATTTCCTGGAATTGCTGTCGACATTTTCAATGGATTTTCCCGTGAAACATTCCTTGGAATTTCCGCGGATTTTCCGCAAAATTGTTACTTGGGAAGACACGGCAGAAACAAACTAATTAAAAAATATGATGTAAGAGCAGAAACTGACCTGCTAAATTGTTGACTATCAGAAGAAAACAAAACCAAGAAATCTCAAGATATTGCAGAAAGAGACCAATTGAAAGATGAAAAGAAAGCTTATTGAACTTAAATAAAACATATTATAATAATATTCCGCTGTAAAATGTCTTTGCGTTCCTAGAGCGTAATGTATTGAGCATAAGTGGATAAGACATGAATTGTAAAGGATTGGTATAAGTACATATTAATACTTATTAAACCATTTCTTTACCAATCATCTAATCCAAATATAGAAAGTTGAAACGTGTTTGAAAAGGACTGAACTAATGTACGGGATATGGATGAAAAATGAATAGCAAAAGATGAACAGGAAAACAAAGGTTTAAATTCACAACTTTTCAACTACAGAAAGGTTTAAATTTAATTTCAATAGAAGTTCATATATGCTTGAAATGCAAAGTTATAGATATAAAGGATGACTCACAAAAAGTTTGATAATCAATTTCATAGAATATTTTTTAAGAAGGGCAGTGGACATATTTGTATTGTTTTTCAAATTCAAATTCTATTTTTATGTTGTGCACCATTTAAGATGTTTAACCCTGTAGATTACTGATATATCTGATATTGAATCTCTATTGTAGAGTTTATGCTTCTATGCATTTATATGCCTGCCTGTTATCATCTTATTACTCTAGTTATATTTCATCAGATCAAATCTTTGCATTCAAAATTCAATTAATAATTTGTTACTAAATACAGTGGAATACTGTGGAATAGGAAGACGACATTAAAACAATTATTAAGTGTATTTAATCTTGTTACAAAGCAAATAGCTTTAATAGTAACTTATTAAATCATTTATGATTAAAGTGGGTCTTTTACCCTACACAACTGCTTTGTCTCTTGTTCAAGATTCATTTAACTATTTATATAATCATAATCGTCTAAAAGTCGTTTTCCTATTCCAGAGTTTTCTTGTTTTTTTTTATAACAGCTTTTAAGATACTTTTTAATTTAGAGTTTTCCTTCGTAATTAAGGACTTCAAAGCAATTTAACTTTTTTCAACTGTGTGCATAAAATCAACACTAGAGGAGCTACAAGGTCACAAAGTCGTTTCAGGGATGTCTCAAAAATTGGACCTTCTCCGTCTGTCTATTTTGCAGTGTAAGACTGGACTCTTTTAGTACGTGCCCCTGGGATACCAAACTTCTTAAGTTACGTCAATCAGCCCAATTTGATACACCAGAATTTTTACATTATTATTATTATAATTCATAACTGTAAGATGAAGGCATAAAATAACTTAGTCAATTCACATATTTATTGAAAAAAGGTTGTTTTTCATGAAATTTCTGCCGATTTTAAACAAAAAGAATTAAGATTAGTAAGTAAATAATCCTTTAGTTTTCCAGGGCTAATTACAAATAAGTTACTTTATAATATGAGTTATGACAAATAAAAGCCTAACCAAACATATGATTAAAAATTATAGAATCAGTTCAGTTTCATTTTCAGATTTTACACGGTTATACAACGAAATCCGTACAGCGATTGATTTATAATTTTCAAATAGATACCCCTTTTATCGTGAACACTCCCTTTAAGATAGAAGTATATTATGCAATATACAGAGATATCAAGTAGCATAAACATGTGAAACCTGGAAGGGGGAAACAAAACTTTCCTTTTTCACAAATTTCATTCTTCATGGATTCAATAAAAGAATTTGAAATCATAAACAATAATTCTAAATTATGTGAAATATTTTACCCCTGTTTTCAATTACAAATATTTGTGCTTACAGGGATCTAAACATAGATTAATTAAAATAACAGATATGACACTAGATGTCGTCTTTTCAAGATTTGGATAAACCTCGTTCATAATAACCCTAAAGCAGAAGCCAAAAGGAGTTTCTCGCAGTCGGCGTAGAATTATAAGACAGAG